CTGACTGCCACTGCCACCACCACCACCACCGACATCGACGTCACCGCCACTCACCAGCCACACTCGCCGCGTGGCTCCCCCCCTCACCATGTCCGACTCCCACTTTGACATTCCCATGCAGTCGCCGCGCGAGGTCGAGTCTGGCTACGCCAGCGGCTGCAGCAGCGAGGCCAGCCTGCCCGACATCTTCTTCAGCAAAACACACCTGAAGTTCATCAACGCCCAGTTGCAAAAACTCGACCCCGAGGGTGCGTTTCCGCGTCGTGTCTGTTCCGTGGCCTCTTCAGCGCGCTAACGCCCCCCACAGACATTTTGAGATGGTGCCTCATCACCCTGCCCTCGCTGTTCCAAACCACCGCCTTCGGTCTCTCGGGCCTGGTCACGCTTGACATTCTGTCAAAACTGCCCAACCCCACAAAGACGCCCGTCGACCTCATCTTCCTCGACACCCTGCACCACTTTCCGGAAACCCTCGCTCTCGTCGACCGCATCAGGTCCCGCTACCCCAACTTCAACCTGCACGTCTACAAGCCCGCCGGATGCGACAATGACCAGGACTTTGCCAAGAAGCACGGCGACCGCCTGTGGGAGACCAACGACGACCTGTACGACTTTGTCGCCAAGGTCGAGCCCGCCCAGCGCGCCTACGCCGAACTGCAGGTCAAGGCCGTGCTGACGGGCCGCCGCCGCAGCCAAGGCGGCAAGCGCGGCGACCTCGACATCATCGAGATTGCCGACGACGGCCTCATCAAGGTCAACCCGCTGGCCAACTGGTCCTTTGCCGACGTCAAGGACTACATTGAGAAGCACAGCGTCCCCTACAACGAGTTGCTCGACCGCGGCTACAAGAGCGTCGGCGACTGGCACTCGACCCAGCCCGTCGCCGACGGCGAGAACGAGCGTGCCGGCCGCTGGAAGGGCCGCGAGAAGTCCGAGTGCGGCATCCACAACAAGAAGTCGCGCTACGCCCAGTTCCTCGCCGAGCAGGAGAGGAAGAGGCAAGAGGAGGCGTTGAGCAGGGCGCTCGAGTCGGCACACGTCGGCCCCTCGGCATAGCAATAGTGGTGTCTTTTTTTTTTTTTTTTTTTTTCTCCTTCTTCCTTTTTTTGCAGCATTGAAGCACGGCGTTGAAAGGGAATCTTTGGAGCATCCGACGGTCATCACGTCCATGGGGGTCTTATGAGAAAAACGGGCGTTTCATCAGCTTGCTTGATTGAGATTTTGACGGACTATATATATTTGCTTTTTAGTAGACAAGAGGGGGAACGGGAACGATGGTTCTCGGAGAAACGCTTTTTCTGGATGACGTTGCGTGGACTGCATGATTTGAATCCGCGGGTGACAGATTCACCGGCGAGAGATTGGGTAGGGGGCATGAGCATCAATTGCAAAGATAGGAATCAAATCATTTAGATAGAACACACGTGATTGCCATCAGCGGCCGTGGTTGCTGGAACCGCCTGTCTCCTGAACGGCAGTGCCCAGGCCGGCAGCCTTTGATTTGTGCTGGGCTGCCTCAAGGCCCCAAGCCTGTAGAACAATGGTAGTGGGTCCGCCCGCTCCTCCAAGCACTGGTTGACGGGTGGAATTTTGTTGGTGAGAGGGAAACAAAGGGACGACTCTCCTGTTCATCACACCAACCCACGTCGGTTTCAAGCCAAGTGGCTTGCGCGGGGCGTACGTATGCTCGCCGTTCGCATGGGCCAGACGAAGCGAATTGGGAGCTGAGAAGCTGAGACGAGGAGGGCGGGCAACGCGTCGACGGTTCCAAGAATGTCGCCAGGCGTGGCTTTGGCCAAGGTCGACGGGCACGGCGGAGACGATTGTCATTATTCGACCGCATCCCTGCCCCGCGGGCGCTGCGACGTTTGCTTGGTTTCCTTCACCCATCCCCAATCCTGAGTGAGCGGACTGCGGAACCCACCCACCCATATATAGTCCCGCCGACGGCCCCTCCGTCTCTGACGCTGTCTGCTCCCCATTCCCACCCCTCCTCCCCTTTCCAATTCTTTATTCCAAATCATGGCCAACCCTCCCCATGGTACGTGGGACCTGCTGCTCCCCGTCTCAGCTCCCCCCAAACTGATTGTTTTCCAGGCGGTGTCCTCAAGGACCTCATTGCCCGCGATGCTCCCCGCCGACAGGAGCTGGCCGACGAGGCCGAGAACCTGCCCGCCATTACGCTGTCCGAGAGGCAGCTCTGTGACTTGGAGCTGATTCTCAACGGTGGCTTCTCGCCGCTCGAGGGTTCGTCAAAACATTTTTTTTATTTTTTCCCTGAATTTTTTTCCCCCCCTCCCCGCCCCGCGACGGCGCAATTCTCTGCGTCTCCGCGGCACCGTCGAACAACCTCCGATGACGCACCGAGAGAGCTCCACCGCTGACAGCATGGCGGCCGCGTACAGGTTTCATGAACCAAAAGGACTACGACAGGTGAGTTGGCTCAAACTGGAATTGGCGGATTGGAGCTAATTTTGGGGACCAGCGTTGTTGCAAACTCGCGTCTTACCGATGGCAACCTCTTCTCCATGCCCATCACCCTCGACGTCTCGCAGGAGACGATTGACGAGGCCGGCGTGAAGCCTGGTGCTCGCATCGTCCTCCGCGACCTCCGTGACGACCGCAACCTCGCCATCATCACCGTCGACGACATTTACAGGCCGGACAAGTAGGACACCACAATTTGATTTGTGAGAGAGGAAGCAGAGATTGACAGGGACACCAGGCAAAAGGAGGCCCGCGAGGTCTTTGACAAGGACGGCGACGAGGCCCACCCGGCCATCAAGTACCTCTACCACACGGTCAAGGAGTTCTACGTCGGCGGCAAGCTCGAGGCCATTGACCGCCTCATGCACTACGACTACGTCGCGCTGCGCTACACGCCGGCGGAGCTGCGCCTGCACTTTGACAAGCTCGGCTGGTCCCGAGTCGTCGCCTTCCAGACGCGCAACCCCATGCACCGCGCCCACCGCGAGCTGACGGTGCGCGCCGCGCGCCAGCGCCAGGCCAACGTGCTGATCCACCCCGTCGTCGGCCTGACCAAGCCCGGCGACATTGACCACTTTACGCGCGTGCGCGTCTACCAGGCGCTGCTGCCGCGCTACCCCAACGGCATGGCGGTGCTGGGTCTGTTGGGTTTGGCCATGCGCATGGCCGGTCCCCGCGAGGCCGTGTGGCACGCCATCATCCGCAAGAACCACGGCGCGACGCACTTCATCGTCGGCCGCGACCACGCCGGGCCCGGCAAGAACAGCAAGGGCGTCGACTTTTACGGGCCGTACGACGCGCAGGAGGCCGTCACAAAGTACAAGGACGAGCTCGGCATCGAGATGGTGCCGTTCCAGCAGATGACGTACCTGCCCGACACGGACGAGTACAAGCCCAAGGACGAGGTCGACGCGGGCATCAAGACCCTGGACATTAGTGGAACCGGTATGGCGTGCTCGTCGATCCCCCAGATTTCACGCAGACAGAGAACAATTGAGCTGACCGATGGCGTGCTTTTCCTCCAGAGCTCCGCAAGCGCCTGCGCACCGGCGCCGCCATCCCCGAGTGGTTCTCGTACCCCGAGGTCGTCCGCGTGCTGCGCGAATCGCACCCCCCGCGCTCCAAGCAAGGCTTCACCGTCTTCCTGACGGGCTACCAGAACAGCGGCAAGGACGCCATCGCGCGCGCGCTCAACGTGACGCTGAACCAGCAAGGCGGCCGCAGCGTGTCGCTGCTGCTCGGCGAAACCGTCCGCGCCGGCCTGTCGTCCGAGCTCGGCTTCACGCGCGCCGACCGCAACACCAACATCTCGCGCATCGCCTTCGTCGCGTCGGAGCTGACCAAGGCGGGCGCGGCCGTCATCGCGGCGCCCATCGCGCCCTTCGAGGACGGCCGCGCGCACGCGCGCGAGCTCGTCGAGAAGTACGGCTCCTTCTACCTCGTGCACGTGGCCACGCCGCTCGACTACTGCGAGCAGACGGACAAGAAGGGCGTCTACGCCAAGGCGCGGCGCGGCGAGATCAAGGGCTTCACGGGCGTCGACGACCCGTACGACGCGCCCGCCAAGCCGGACCTCGTGGTCGACTTCAGCAAGACCAACGTGCGGACCATTGTGCATCAGATTGTGCTGTTGCTCGAGGGCGAGGGGCTTCTGGAGCAGTTGTAGATGATGGGTGTGTGGGTGTGAGGGGTGCGGTTAGACTGTGCGTTTGGTTTGGATTGAGGTCGAGGTTGTAGAAAAACGGTGCCTGTCCTATGCCATGCCATGCCACGTGGATTTAGACGCTACCTGCCTAGCTAGCTAGCAGGCGAGCGAGAGAGAGCCGCTGGGAGAAATGTAACAACATGAACAACTACAACGAACGACATCAGCAACACATGCTTTCTTAACATCCCGGCGGGCCATTCCCCCCCCCTTCTTACCCGTCATCCTCGCGTCGTCCCCTTCTCTCGCCTCGACTCTTCTGCTTGCCTCGGGTTCTCTCGCCCGAATGCTACCATGTGGTAGTACCACACTATCCATCCATCCCATCATCACCGCCGCCATCATTCCTCCGTGTTTAGAAGACTGAGTAAGTAAATGGATCCTCTTTCTCCCTCCCCATCCTTATCCTTCTATCTATACCCTCTCTCTTCTTTCCCCTTTCTCCTGTTCTTAGATGCAAGAGAGGGAGAGGGGGAGAGAGAGAGAGAGAGGGGTAGCTATGTAAACCGACTAACCCACATTCTTCCCATTCTTCTCCTCCTCCTCCTCCTCCTCCTTCTCCTCCCCCACCTACCTACCTACCTACCTACCTACCTGCTCATCATCAAGAAAACCCAGCCCTGCCTGTTGAACAGCGAAACAGAAAGGAGAAGAAGAAAAAAAGGGGGCTACCCCCTCTCCTCTCCTCCCTCTCCCTCTCTCTCTCTCCCCCAAAAGGACAAGACAAAACAAGACAGAGCAAAAAAACGGGGTAAGGAGGGGAAGGAGGGAGGGAGGGAGAAAGGCAGCAAAACGAAAAAAAAATCAAGGGTCTTACCGCGACTCGAACGCGGGGCCTCTCGCATACTTGTTCCGTAGAGCAGCTAACTCAGAGTAAACCCTAAGCGAGAATCATACCACTAGACCATAAGACCTTGATGGAAAATCATATTGTTTAATCAAAATATGTATGTAGGAAAAGAGGGAGGGGGGTTAGAGGGAGGGACTGCTCGTAGAGTGGAAGGAAAAACGGTCACGAGGTTTGGGAGCCTGCGAGCGGAGCGGAGCTGAGCGGAGCTGCTGGCTTGGCTCTATACATAGTCATGGTGTATACGACGCGATGGCACGTGGGTGGCAGCGGCAGCAAGCGCTCGTTCGCTTGTTCTTCCACTCGTTCTTTCGTTGATGATGATGATGATGATTGACTACAGACAGTAGCTAGCTAGCTAGCTGGGTAGGTCGATTAAGAGAAGGGAAAAGACAAGAGAAGAGAAGAGAAGAGAAGAGAAGCGGATATATAAGTAGTAAGGTAAGTAAAGTGAAAAGGGGCTATATGTGGTGGTAGCAAATGGGTAGCGCTGGAGGCCAACCGGTTGGTTGGTTGGTATATCGAGGGACAGAGAGCGAGATGGCGGAACTCTTGTAGCAGCAAAAGACACACACACACACACACACATGCCATGGCCGAGCGCGCAGCAAGCGACAGACAGACAGACAAACAAGCCTCATCCCCTCACGCCGTCCCACCACCAGCACCACCCCCCGAATTGCCGACACTCTTCCCCTGCGCATCCTTCACCGTCCACCCCGTCAGATCAATCGTCCAGCCATTGCCCAGACTAACCGCCGTCGCACTCATCGCCGCCTGCCCGCCAGCACCGTACTCGACAAAGTACGTCTGCAGGTTCTCCTGCGCCGTCACCGCGTGGTCGAGCCGGCCGCCGCTGGCTTGGAACACGTACAGCACGCCCGTCTTGCAGAAGGCGAGGCGCTTGGGGCTGACGCCGGACGTGGCGGACGTGGTGCTGGTGGAGGTGGAGGTCGGGGACGATGTCAGGGTGGAGGTGGCGCTGTACATGGAGCTGCCGCCGTTGGCGTCGTAGACGATGCCGAGGTTCGTTTTGGCCGCGTCGTTGGAGTATTGACGGCGTTGGAGCTGTGCGTGCGGTGTCACGAGCGGTGGGCGTGCGGGGGAGCCGTGGGCGGGCGATGCAGGTACAGGACCGGGCGCGGGCCGGGCCAAGGGGGGCTCCTCCTCGTCGTCCTCGTCCTCGTAGTGACGATGTCGGTCGCCAAAGTCGAGATGCAGGCCAATCTGCGGCAGCCAGTCGAGCGAGCGTTTGGACTTGGACAGGCCCGAAAACGTGACGAGAGCGTTCTCGGCTGAACACGACATGTTGGCGCGGCTGAACAGCGCCAGCAGCTGCGTGCCGTTAAGCGGGATCTGGAAGCTGGCCTGCGCGTCGTTGATGAGCTCGGTAACGGCCGAGCCGATGGTCGCGTTGGACGAGCCGCCCATGTTGGTCGTCGAGCAGCCCGAATCCGGCGCCTGCGTGCAGCTCGCCCCCGTGTAGCCGTTGGCGCAAATGCAGGCGCAAGAGCCCGTCGGGTCGAGCATGCTCGTGCCGCCGTTGGAGCACGGGAGGGTGCTTTCGCAGCCGCTGACCGACTTTTGTTGCGCCGAGTTGGACGACGAGTCGTTGTTTTTGGGGAGCACGATGAGCGCAATGGGGACGACGACGGCGGCCGCGACAAGGAGCAAGAGCACGATGATCAAAATGACAAACCCCCACAACGGCATGCCGCAGCATCGTCGGCCGCGCTTCTTGGGAGGCCCTTGATCACTGCCATAGTGCTGTTCGTGAGCGAGGCCCGTCGGCCAACGGGTGCCGTAGGGCGAGCGTGGCGGAGAGCGTGGCGACGACGTGGCGGGACGAGGAAAGGACGTGAGCATGTCTGCCAGTGAGGCTCCGTCCGACCTGCGCACCGCAGCAGCCACGGCGGCGCGCTTCTCGTCCGCATTCGGCCCACCCAGCTCCCACAGGTCGAATCCCAGCCGGCTCGCCGTTTTGCCGCGGTCGAGATTTGATGCCAACTTTGTTGCGCGGCGGATCAAGTCGGGTAAACTGGTCAAGCTTCCACGCGACTCGGCTTCCTGAACCGCGTCCACATTGAGCTTGGGCGGACGTCTGGTTCCTACGCGGTCTGAAAGCTTCGATGGCGCTCTTGACTCCTTGCCAAAACCCGACAGGGCGCCTCCTTTTTCCAACCCTCCCAGGATTTCGTCCACTCGCGGATCAATGGGCGAGTCGAGGTCGTCGTCCAGCATTTCCTTGGACAAGGGGGACTTGCTACCGCTGTTGGAATTGCTCGAACTTGTCGAGGGCGAAGGGGGCATCAACCCAGTACCGCCACGCAACTCCCCACCCGACGGCTTTTTGGACACGGCCAGACCGACGGGCATGGCCGCCGCTGCAGGCATGGCCATTGCGGCCTGTCCGTTTTTATCCCTTTCCCGCAGCTTGTCCATGCTGTCCATGCTCTTAATGGTCGTCAACGATGGCTTCCCGCGCTTTCCCATGCTTGCTTGCCGCACCAGTCCAGACTGATCGCCATCGTCACTCGGGCGTGACCGGCCGTCGTCGCTGTCGCCGCGCTCGGTGGGACTGCCGAGGTCGTCTTCGTCGTCCGTGATATCCTCATCGAAATAAAAGTCGCCGGCGTTGGCGGGTATTACATTACTAGAAGCGAAAGAATTGTGAGATCTATGAGATTCGGCCTCTTCGACAATGGGCGAGACGTAGGACGTCTGCGAATAGTAAGAGGACGGTCCTCTTCGCGCCGAGGGCGGAGGACCTAATGCTGGAGGTTTTCGAGAGTTCCCGGGGGTGTTGGGGACGGGAAAGTCGGGTATGGATCCAAGAGAAGAGGCGGAATTGACCGAATTGCCCGTCATTCGGTTCGGATCGCGCGTGGCAAAATAAGGAGAAAGCAGGTCGCCGTCTGGCGACACGGGACTTTGGCCCGGTGGAGCGAGACGTTCGGTGGAAGACACCTTGGTGGGATCGAGAATCGAAGGGACATAGCGAGGCCTCGGGGGTCTTTGTGGCGGAGGGCCTCTTTGGCGGGGCGCGGCAGCGGGATCGTAACCTTCTGGCAGAGGCCAGTTGGTATTACGCGAGGTTCCCGACTGAGGCGACATGTTGGGTGGTGGTGGACGAGACTGCGGAGGCTCGCCCTGCTCGGCTCTCAGTCGAGCAGCTCTTACAGAACCGCCTCTGTTTCCAGAGGAAGCGCCATAGGGCGCGCCGGGACCCCGGGCCGGGTAGCTCATTGGCGGGGAATTTGGGTGTTATGGCATGCGGGAGGGCTGGCGAAACGGTTCGAGTTTGTAAAATGGCTAGGCGGGAGGAGAGTAAGACTGTGGGTGGTCAGAGGGAGAGCAGAGAAAATGCACAAGCATTGGGCTTGAAGCAACAAAACATGGGCCATGACGACAGAAGGAAAAAACGGGAGGATTTGTTCCAACCAGTGTTTGAAGCGCGCGACGGGAGACGTGTCGGAGCAACTGTCATGGCATGTGTACCTACTGATTTTAAATTGTGCGAGACACAGCAGAGGCCGGAGCGGAGGGGAAATGGAGAGTAGGTAGGCAGAGAGGTGGATTGGAGTGGATTGGGCGAGATGAAGTGGCGCCGGGCGGGATCCAGACCAGCGGATTAAAGAAGATAAGAGGTGGGAAGAGTGGGTTAACGACAGACGAGAAAGGACGTCAAGCCCGAGAAGAGAGGGAGAGAGACGGGAAGAAAAGAGAGCGGAGAGGAAGAGAAGCGGGGAGGTTGTCGAAGAGTCGGGCGGAGAAGAGAGAGATGGGTGGACGGATGGATGGTGACAGGACAAGACAAGACCAGACCAGACAGGAGAAGCCAACGGACTAGCGCTGAGCTGAGTATAGGCAGGCAGGTACCGCAGTAGTCATCAACCATGGTCCATGGTCCATGGGAGGGGAGGGGTGAGGGTGAGCCACAGCACGCGGGAGACAGCGGAGGTTGGGTAGGGATCGGTTATGGTGCGACAGAGGACAGAGGACCCTGGCCTACCTTGGCCGATTATGTAAAGAAGAAAATACAGTACAGTGCACCAAAAACCACAAACACCACACCACGACCACGACCACGTCCACGTCGTCTGCCTGCACTCGAGCTACACCACATGTCTCCCTCACAGCACCACGTCCAACAACCAGCACGACGGCCCAGCCAACACAAACTTCGCTCTCGCCTCGCCTCACTCCTCTGTCATGTCTGTCATGCCTCCCGCGCTCGGCCCCGGCTCGACATGGGATCGCGGCTTCACTTATATTGCTCCTCTCCCCACAACTTAACCGACGTCGTCCTCATCTTCGCCCTCCCCTCGTGTCGGATCGCACCGGCCAGCTCACCTTATTTCAGGACGACCCGAGTCCTCTGCACCACGCCCCCCGCCCTTGCGTACGCCGTCCCTCCTTGCTCAACCAATTCCCATGTCCGCTGTGATTGCCATCCATGGCACTCCAGCTCCCGTACCGTAGAGCCGCATCCTGCCCCGACTTGGCCGGGCTCCCCCGTCGCGACTCCTCTCTGCCCGACCATGACCATGACCAGTTTGACCACGCACTGCTTCAGCCAAGACGAGACCCAGAGCCCTCTTGCCTCATGCGCCCATCACCATCAGGTCGAAGAAAACATGTCGACCGACTGCATGTGCCCAATCACCACCTCACCACCACCCCGACTGCTGCCGTGGCATCGCATGTGACACGTGAGTTGTCGTCCAGTCCACTACTCTTTTTCCTCGTCACTGACACTCGCGTCGCAGAATGCCAAACCGTCAGATGCTGACCATGTCGTCTTGGCCTCGGCTGACATTTGACTAGACGTGACAGCAATCCACCATGACCCGGATGGTTTCCCCAGCACCCCCAAAAAGACTCGACGCTCTGTTGCTACGGCACGCTCCCGTGCCTCTCTGATTGGCACCCTGTGCGCCTCTCCTGCCCGCCCAAGCCACGCCGTCAGACAGGCTCAACTGTTTCACTCGACGCCCGGGAACTGCTCCCCCTCTCCCGTCCAGGACGAGATTCTTGGTCGGCCCGGAGGTGTGCCCGTCGACCGCA